ACTGAACTTGACCTAGTTACTGCATTGTAAACAGTCGATCGGTTGATAAAGTGGGACGACGCAGGGTTTGTCTAAATTTCGCGTAACAATTCTTTATCAATTTGTGGAAACACGTGATTTTTTGGTCCAAGAAACAGATTAATAAACCTAAACGATATGAGTCAAGGTTATCAACATATTAGATTAGTGCCCCCAAATCATCAGACGTCACATTTTTTGACAGTCATCTCACTCTCTTCTTTAATGAGATGGCTCCACTGTAAAATTAATGCTTTATTTTTTCGTCGCAAGAATATTTGTACAGAATACTTACGTCCTTGAAAATAATTAACCATTTTTTCCTCGCTACAGCATGATTGTTGCTAAGGTCAGTTCTTTGTGAAGATATATGTATTACCTATCTAAATTGGTGGGTATGGGGATATAAAACGATTAAAAGATTTATTGTGGGTTTTGTTCAAGATATGTTGGAAATTTTACAAACGTGTTTGTCTTAGATAGACAGAACCGTGTTTTATTATTTTTACATAGCAATAAATTAGCAGGGTGATCGATCACAGTAATTTTCAAAGGAAATTGAAAACAAGCGAAATAAATTACAGTGTACGAGTCGGCGTTGACTTTGAAATGGAAAATGTGTCATTGTTTCGCTGTTTCTTTGAATCTGATCTAGATATGTGTATTAAAATGTGTTATATCGTGAGATATACATGAAAAACAAGTTACTGTAAGGGTTTTTTCGCATACTATTCTACTTCCCTTATCTTTTTTACTTTTATACTACGTATATTTGTTTGACGAACACCCTATAAACTTGGATAAGCTCTTCCTTAACATCCCAGTGATAGGTTTGATATATTTATCTCTATTAATAAGAAAGATATGACCAAAAGAGTCAAAAGAAAGAGCTTTATCCAAATAATTGTTCTATCAGAGAAATATATCAGTTTGCCTTGTATCTTCAAAATGCAACGTTCAATTGTTTTTCCACGTACAGTTTTGAAATCACAAGGAAATTTTGTACAACTTTGGCCTATACATTGTTTTATGCGAATAACCTAATACCTACATTCATTAATGTTCTAGAGATTAAATTAATAGATGGCTGGACAACTTCTCGACTGGTTGCCACGTCATCGGTTGGGGCATCATGGCGTTTCGAGAGACCTAGCGCTAATTTACGAAACGAATTTTATTTCAATGTCAAGGGTGACACAGATCAATATTTATTGTCTTATGGAAGATAAGTTCTAGCAGCAGACAGTAATACATCACGGGTACTTATAATTTACGACTAAAATACAAATGACTGGTAATTTTTTAGCGGGGAGTAGTACAGGATTATTAGATTTGACAAATGGCCCACTTCGTTTTGGGAAAAGTATTTAATTTTTAATCTAAATCCGGGTTTATAGAACATAATACATATGAGATTAGTTATAAACAATGTTGCTTTTTAGTATCCATTGCTTATCTATAGACAAAGATAAGGCGACATGTTAACGTAATCTTTTACATTTACAGAGACGCATATAATATGGAATCATCACAGTTTTATTCTGTGCGGAACTATTTTTAATGATATGACTTTGCAAGAATCTTATAGAAATAGTTCAAGTTTCACAGTAAAACCACTAGTTATGTATTTATCGTCCTGGTAATTGCTTTGACAAGATAATACCAGAATTATAAATAATAGAATAGAATAAATAATTACAGACAATATCGTAATTTTAATTAAGTATTTTAATTAATTTTAATTAATATTGACGCTGCAGTAGGTAATCTAAAATTATCTTAGGTATACAAAATAAGCATGTTATTTTACAATAATTAATCGTTAATTAACAGAAAATAGAAATACGAAATTCGATATTTACGACATTTAAAGTGTAATTTTACTCAGAAACAGAAAAACTATATATTCTTAAGAATAAATCAAAATCTAGCACTATTACGTAGTAACAACATTTTTAGGGAAAAAAGTTTTTTTTACATATTTATATGTTTCCATAGTGGCAAGTTACGAGGTACCTAAATGTGAGAAAAAAAACAACAATCAAGAAATTAATAGTTATTTATCCGCAATCACCTTACAATCGGACTTTCATCCACACATATGAACCGTATAAAGCGATACATTATCCACTAGTGGAATAAAGTAACTTTCACTAGTAGAATAATGAAAAAATAATAAACCTATAATAAATCAAATTTAATTTATTTACTTACATTTACATTTATAATAATAGACATTTCGTTGTTTGTTTTATCACATTTAACTTCCTTTCCGTTAATAACAACCCTTGTAGCATTGTTGCCATCATTTTTTGAACTAATAACATCTGCCGAAGTTTGTGAAGACTTGCACAAATTACGGATGACTTTTCTTGTAAGGAACAGCTATATTTTCCTTGGATTTTCCTTGCAATATCAAGTTTGTTAAATATAACATAACTTTCTGCTACAAAGGAGCTCTTCCATCCACCATGCCGTTTGATGGATGTAAGATCTGCACCTTTATTGGCCAATAAAATTGTTGAAGTGCGTCTCATACAATGTATATGCTTCTGTAGTTGTGATATTCAGGAATGAAGCAACTGTTGAGAGTACGAATGTGTTGATTTCGACAGGCTTAGAAGTACATTTTTGATTGATGTATCTTAAAAAGAATCTGTCTTGTATTAGGCGAATTTGGCGCAGAGAAATATATTTTCTGCATATTTCAACAGCATTCACGCAAAATCCTTCTTCTATTATTGTCAATTTTCTTGAAATGCCCGTCTTGGTGTCAGGTATTGAAACAAGAAGGTAACTGCCAACGTCCTGTATGTCACTAATTTTCAAATTTGTCAATTTGCAGCATCGACAGGCACCAGAAACCCCCATTTTTAGTGCAACTTAAAATAATTCAAAGTTCACTATATACCTAACAACATGTAAAATGTAAAGATACAACGAAATTGCAGAAATAGCCCTGACCAAATTTTCGAACCATTTGTGGTATTTGAATGTAAAGTTGGTGGGATTATCGTTTTTTGATTCCACCATTACAGACGATGAAAAGTTGTTAATGGCTAATAAATTGCTTAGTAGCACAGATGAACCATCAGAGCACGCTAGGGTTGTAAATCCAAAAGTTAGGAAAGAAAAATTAAAAGAGGTACCAAAGAAACGTTTACATTCTTTGACCGATTTAATATAAAAACAGATTTCCTAAGACAACATCCAAACACCTGGCCTCAAAATAATGACTTCCAAGAAGGATTAAAAATTGTCAAAACATTAAAAGTAGTTAATGATATGGCTGAGCGTAGTGATAAATTAATAACCGACTTTAACGACCTTCTGACAAAAGATGAAGACCAAAAGCAATATGTCCTGCAAGTTGTAAGCAAATGCCGAGCATTATTTCCTGACATTTCAAAAACTACTTTAACAAAAGCTCTAGAATAGATTAGATAACTATGTAAAATTATCAACTCATGTAGGTACTACGTCTGTATCTTTTCTATGTCTGTTTTGTATGTATTATAGACCTGATTTTTATATTTTAAAATAAAAAATGTCATTAGACTTATCAGTATTACTTGTTTTTTTATTATATTTCTACTTTAAACTCAAAAATATACCAAAAAAAGCAAAATTTATCACTTAATAACAAAATATACGAAGTATGCTCCTAGTGGTACCAGGTCACGTTTTTGGGGCTAAAAGCTGTTGTAACTCGGTTTGACTTAAAATAACAACAATTATGTATAGAATGTAAATTTTGAAGAACAACATTAGCTTTCTTTTGAGATATTAAGCGTGTTTCTATTATTTACCGTTCTGGAGTTATGGCTCCATATGTCAGCTTTTTGGCCAAAAATTTGGATTTTTTTTTCAAACTTTGAGCAACGAACGGCACGGGTTAACGTCGTTTAATTGAGCTCAAATTTCGACTATCTCAATATCTGGAAAGGGGAATCATTTTGTGGGGTCCATACGAACAAGATTCCGAATTTTTTTTCCCCCCTCTATGAGATCCGGTCACCTAGTATACATACTTAGTTCTTTAGGTTGTTATGCCGTAGCACTTCCTTAGCCTTAGCTAGGAATCTTTGACCTGCCCTTGTTGTTCTCGGGCTAAGATGTGTGGGGCGAACCCTTTGTCAAAACCAGCTAGACTCACTATAATGTTGATATTAATTAATTAGATAGAGGTAATATATTTTGAAATGTAACAGTACAATTTAAAAAGTAACAATATTCCGTAAAAAATTACCTGCTTAAACCATTGCAAATATATAAAAAGTGTATGTAAATTTCTACAATTTTTATCAGTGTTGTTATAAAGAAGGAAAATTTTTCCCAATAATCGTTTTGTGTATTCCTGAATTTGGTTAACAAAAAAACAGATCGAAAATATTGGAATTCTCTTTTTTTTTGTGTGCAAATAATTAGAAATACTCTAGATGTTTCGCGTCATGTTCTAGCCAACTTCAAGGTCAAAAATCGATAAATCTTTTAAAGCACCGACTTTTTATTTCGCAACTTACTACTTACATTGCAGTTAAATTCATTTATCATTAAATCTGCATCGACAATCAACCAAAAATCCCTGACGCGTTATCTGCTGACCTCAGACTAATCTTTGCGTCATTCTCCCAGCCCATATTGCGCCGATCTTCACCAATATTTAATTACAGCTTAATTGGACCGTTTATATAACGTTGTAAATTACAAAAGGTACGCTAGTAACCTATTATCAACGAATCTGAACCAGTTATTGCCACGAAAAAGATTCTTTTGTTGTCGCTGATTATTTTTTTAGTTCATCGCAAGCGCTAGGCGTAGGTTTATTGGCAATATTGAGCGATAAGTCTGATAAGAAGCGCTATTTTCGTGTTGGTAATACCGAGAGAGATTGGGAAGGTATTTATAGTGGGAATTGGTGCAATAAACTACGCCTAACGAGCAAAAATTTGAAACATGTTATAGATTTTATTGTTCTCCGTTCTAGGGTGTACCGCAAAAATATAAAAAATAACACAAAGGTGAGAATATAATTGTAAAATCGAACAGGAAAAAAGAGAAAAATAAACACTAGCTTTTCTTGGAAGTCTCTACTGCAATAAAAAGATAATTTTAATTATAAGTTTCTGGTAAATAGTAGTATAAATAGTGTAATGATTTGATAGCACAGGATTTTTGTATTAAATGAGATAAATAAAAAATTAGCTAAATCATATTTTGTTTTACTAGGAATAAATAATTGTAAGATTTATATTTTGTAACCAAAAATAACTCCAACAAAATCATTTCTCACAAATCTTCACACCAATCTGAGACTCACTCGTATTCGCTTTTCACTTTTCATTTATTTTAACAATAATACTAACAAAATCACAACACTTCGTAAACTCTAACTTTTCTAAAATTAACAATTTAGCTACTACGCCCTATCTCCCTATAAGTATACAGAGCTTATCAACAATCCAACTTCTGTTCTTCAATTTTCTAGCATGCTTTTCCTTTGCCTTGAACTCCTGCCACTTCTTGTTTTTCTTCAGGTCTTTAGGTCCCCAGCTGTCGTGCAAGAACAGAGACTTGACAGCCTAAAAATCGAAACAAGTAGAATGAAATAGTCGCGTTGAATATCACTAAAACCAACATATTTTCTCGTAGTATCATACCTGATTGCAACCTTCTGCCTCCCGCCGCTTCAGTACCTCAACCAGGAACCATACTAGTGGTTGTATGACTCCTACGCCCAATAAGACCCACCCCCAAACTGAAAAAAAGCACTTTGTTACACGATTTCCTCAAGACGGTCTTTGGTTTGCTTCAGTTGTAAACAAGAACATTTTGGTTGCTTTGAGTATTTGAGGATGACTTACCGATTATGTATGAAGGATACGACTGTCCTTCATAAGTCAGTTCTTCTAGAGTCACCACAAAGTAAACGAATACCACTAGTAAAGCCATTGGAATGACGATGCACCAGCATATTCTCCAGTAGATCCCTGGTTTCCTCTTCAGCATATACTCTATGTCCAAACAAATTTCTTCCAGTCCTGGAACACGACGCTGTGAAACGATTTCAAAAACACTTAAAACACTTGATCTTACCGTACCACCACATTATTGACACTATTTCAACGATCGTCAAAACGAAGAAGATGAAGGTTCCCCCGAAGAAGTCTACCATTGTGAAGATCCATTGCCCTCCCTAGAAAAATGATCAGTAGTGTTTTATCACAAACTTAAAATACAGCAGTAAATGAACATCCAGCTTTGTAGTTATCTGTGACTTACCGGTGTTATGTAGACAAGTCCAATCAGAAACCCTGCGATCGCTGTTGCTAGAGAGACGTGCCATATCCTTAAATGAGGAAAGGAATCCATAACTACGGTAAAAGCGCATCCTTTCATTGCCACCAAGCTGCCCACGCCTAGTACAAAGAGCATGAAGAAAAATAGTAACGCGAAGAGCTGCAACAAAATCATAGTAGTCACAAAATGTATAAGAATTAATTGAACATTGAGTGAGTGCTATTGGCAACTCCCAATAGCTGACCAAATTTGAATAGATTTTAATTCGATTTATACATTTCTCATGCAATTAAGACGAAACGTTAATAGTGACTCTTGCAACTGTGTTAAAGGGGATATTTTAAATAATTTTAGAACGTAACTACGTTATAGATAGTTTAATAAAAACAGTCTCTGTATCTAGAAAGTAGTAAGTAAGGTGATTATTCATATTACCCATGGTACGGCTTCAAATCTGGCGATCGCCTCCGGGTACGATATAAATGCCAATCCGGTACCACCAGACTTCACCACCTGGCTGACGTCAACGTCCATTTTATAGGCCAAGTTACCCAAAATTCCGAATATGATGAATCCCGCCAATAATGATGTGCATGTGTCTAAAGTGGTCACCACCATGGCATCTCTAATTGCAAAAAATGAGGATTTATTATTAATATAAGTTTCCAACAAACACTTTGTAAGCCATGTCATATACAGAGTGTGTGATTAGTGGAGACACGCGACTGTAAACAGAGTCGTTTATTATATGCTGTTCATGGCATTCAGTATAAAAAAATCCAGAACAGCGATTGATTGGGGATATACAACTTTTTGCAATTGATTTTTAAATTGGCATTTGGGAACAAAGTGAAAATCGCTGACAAAAAAAGGATACAATTTTTTTGACGATTGTGCAGCATTATAAATTTAAAAAAATCGTCTTTACATTTTATTCGAATTTTCACCACCAAGAACGGCGGTGATAGCATTTTTAACATTAAAGCGATGTTTCGCATTGTATTGGCTATGTCCTGTCCAAATTTTGTTCATGCAACTCTCTTGATTTCGACAATGCAATACTGTTTTCAATCACGAAAATTGAATAAGCTAGTGGGACTGCCAAAAAAATATTATTGAAGTTCTGGACCTTTTTGAAAGAGAAGCAATAATTTTAATTTTTTATGAATTAGGTCGCTGTCCTTAGCCAAAATCATCGACCTTTCAGAGTAGTTGACCTTTAACTTCGGAGTCATCGATATTTCGCTTCCCCAAACTCCAATGACTTGTTAAAATCATCGCGTATAAAACTATTTTGAAATATTCAAGCAATATTAAATAAATTAACTTGGAAAATATTAATATTGCCATAAAAGTAATTAAAAGTACATGAATAGGCCGCATAAAATTGGAGAATGCTCCATCACTCCTCCTGATACCTATAAGTAATCTATCTACAATTTACTTAGTACTGAAAAATATTAAAGATTTATCGCAGGATTAACAATACTAATCTATCTTTTTTGAATTGTTTGCATTCTACTAGTCATGTGGGGGTAAAGGTAATAATGAATTACGAATACGCTAATTGACTGATATATGGCGAAAATAAATTCAGATAAATGATAGTTATACAACTTTTTGTAACTTAATCCTAGAAAAATCTAGGAGGCTAAAAATTATTAAAAAAAAGTTACCTGTAGACATTGTGCCTAAAACTGTTATACGAGGCGTACATTGTAACTGATCCAAATCCGATGTTCAAAGAAAAAAAGCACTGCGTTACCGCGTTATACCATACCTAGGAAACAAGAGCATTATAAAAATTGGACACACGAACTGTCGTACAGTGGCAATTTCTTTATTATTCTTCTTCAAATATGCTTAATTTTGTGATCCGATAATTTGATATATCTATATAGGATTTTTTTTTAATCGAGTGGGAACCCATCAGTCTCAACACCAAAGATAATAATTTGATACTTAAAATTAAAAGAATAAAAAATTTCGTATCTGAGGTTCCTGTAGTTTCACAATACTTTTCAGCCTTAAACCTGAACCCAAAAACATAACCTCAAATTCATCAAACCTAACCTCAAAGTAATGCACTGACTAAATCTATGGGTATAATTACTAGAAAACTATATTTTTCAACATTAAAGCCATAAACTTACACCCATAAAAACTAACCTCAAACCCTTCGAAACCTAACACCAAACCCTCAAAACCCAACTTCAAATTCTAAAAACTTGAGCTGGAAGTTCATAGAATGTATATGTTCTACACCAAAGAATAAAAGCCCTTGAAAACTATTTTCTGGAACTTATTTTTTTTATTTTTGAAGCCCCTAACCTCTATTCTTAAATATCTAACCTCAAATCCAAGAAATCTGAGCTAGAAAGCCAAACGAAGGATATTTTCCAAACCAAAGAATGTAACTCCTTGAAAACTCTTCAGTTACTAGTTTTAGTTACAAATTCTTCAGTTACCAATTTGCTATTTGAAATATAAGAGCGACAGTAATCATCGTGAAGTGATCTTTACTCATGTAAAATTCTTTCTATCTAAATATCCACTTATTTTTTGTGGATCTGAGAATAAGTTTCAAGGGTTTGAGGTTAGGTTTTTATCGACATAGCATAGATTTGAAGCATCAGAAATACAAAATATTATGTGTTACATTCTTTGGTTTGGAAAATATCCTTCGTTTGACTTTCCAGCTCAGATTTCTTGAATTTGAGGTTAGATATTTAAGAATAGAGGTTAGGTTAAAAATAATTTTCAAGGACTTTTATTTTTTTGGCATGAAACATATACATTCTATGAATTTCTAGCTCAAGTTTTTAGAATTTGAAGTTGGGTTTTGAGGGTTTGGGGTTAGGTTTTGAAGGGTTTGAGGTTAGGTTTTTATGGGTGTAGGTTTATGGCTTTAGAGTTAGGAAATATAAGCTCAAAAATATATTTTTCAAGTAATTATACCCATAGATTTAGAAAAGGGTAAGTGTATTAATTTGAGGTTAGGTTTGATGAATTCGAGTTTATGTTTTTGCGTTCAGGTATAAGGTTGATAAGGATTGTGAAGCTACATGATTTTTTTCATTGTTTAATCAACCTCAATCACGAAATTTTTGGTTTTTTTATTTTTAAATACCGTTGGTGTTGAAGCTGATGGGTTCTCTCAAGATTTAAAAAATTTCTGCATAGATATATCAAATTATCGCACCAGGATCATAAAATAAAGCATATTAACTTACGCGTTCCATCGTTCAATACTTACTTTTGCGCTCAAAAGCTTCTCCCACTGAGGTTGGATAAAATACAAAATACCAGTTCCTGATCCTGCCAAAGTAACAGCTCTTATAAGCAGGGCACCTAGGATTACATAAGGGAATATGGCCAAGAAATAGGAAGCTTTACCCGAGGTTTGAACTCCTTTTGCGCACACAGCGAAGGTTAGCAACCACGCCACGAACAGACATATAGTAAGGCGCCAATCTGGAATCCCAATACCATTACTTAGATCAGATTCTTCCTTCAAAACTTCGATCCTGCAAAACAAATGGTAGATGTAACGTTAAGTAATACGTACCATGTCAATTTACCTGAACCAAAGCTCTGCCGAGCTGATGGTTCCATTGAAATTGCTCCCTCCTTCCGATTTGGAGGCGATACAAGTTAAATTTTGGAGTAGACTGTGATTGTCCCAAGCGGGGTCGCATTCTGACCAGGGTAAGTAGTTCGTGAAAGAATGCACGACATAGAACAACGTCAAGGCCATCAAGGAGCAGTAGTACGTTGCTACGCAGACCGTACCTATGAGCTGCCCATAACCAACACCTAAAGCGGGGAGATAGAGGGTTATCTGTTTATACAAACTGGGTAGGGGAAGTTCCTCGCAAAACTGTTAGGGTGTTTAAGAAATTTTGACTCTTCTGACACAGTATTTATACTTATCTTGACCTCTACCAGAATTACAACAAATCTAAGCACCATACCATGCTACTTAAGCATATGATATCAAAAACGTTTATCTGTGTTACCTTTTAGTGCCGGTGCCAAACTTTCAAACATCTTAACGTTGCCACGACTGCAGAATTGACCCAGGCACATCTCCAGGTAGTACATAGGCCTACCCAGGAATATAAGGACGATGAGGTAAGGGATCAGGAAGGCTCCTCCTCCATTTTCATAGGCCACGAAGGGAAAACGCCAGATGTTACCCAGACCAACGTTCATGGCTATGCAGGACATGAGGAATTCTATGCTGTTGCCCCACGTGGCCCTGTTTTCAATTTGGTCATCTGGTCCGCTGGCGAATTCTATGGGAGGTGTTACCTAAAAGATGAAGTGGATATAGTCTCATAACTAGCATGCATGTTAATTCTAAGCGGAACGAAAGTATAGATAGAGGATCCTCAAGATATTGTGAATACATTTGCTGCATTTTAACACTTAACAACTTTGGGTTTTGCGATGATTTGCCCCGACTGTTTCAATCTTATCTAACTGATCGCTATCAGTTTGTTCAGTATCGTGGTTTTAAATCGTACACCTTTTCTCAGACTTCCGGCGTTCCCCAGGGTTCAATACTAGGTCCGCTTCTATTCATAATTTTTATTAATGACATTGTTAATGACCTTAATGTTCGCTCGCTTCTGTACGCTGATGTGAAGTTATATTGCAGAACTGACGGTTTGTGCGACTGCGAAAATTTGCAATTTCTGCACTTGAAAAGGTTCAGAGGAGATTTTTTAAATCTTAAATTTCACGGTTTCTATTCTGTTAGAGGAACACCACGGAATATATTTTACAACCGTTTCGAGTTAAACAGTCTTATCTCTCTTCTACTCTCGTTCTACTCTTAAATTTATATATATTGTATTTTATAAGTTTATTTTATATTTATTATTTATACTGGTGCATATTTTTCTTACATGCTTTTTAATTTTTTGTTTTGTTGTTTGCACTATTTGTTCTACATTTTTCTCATTGTTTGCTTCACTTTTAAGCTGTTGTACTGTTGATCTTACATTTCACTTTTTTTCCTCCTCTTGTTTTTTTTTCTCTTAAATATGGTTTTTGGTCAACGGGTTATGTCTACAGTCTACATGTAACATGATATTTTAATATTTGAAATAAAATCATTGGCACATAACAGAAGTTTTCGCAAAAAACTGAAACTACATCGAGATGGGGATAATCCTTATTTACAAAGGAATACATTTTGAACAACCTAAACAAAAACAAATTATTTACAATGTTGTCAGTACGATTTATACACTATTTATCGTTTTTTTTTTTTTTTCATATAGGAAATAAGAGACTAGCATTATCTGTAATATAGGCTTATAGGTATAAGTTCAAAAATGAAATCATGTTGTCTATACATGTATTACACTGTCAAAGTTTATGTTGGGGCAATATATTAATGACACGTTATTACAGATAATGTTGTTTATAAAAGATTATCCGTTTTGGAGAAGTCCATAGTAAAAAATATTTACCACTAAGGAGGTGTTTTTGGCGGTTGTTTCAAATTGCTTAATGAAGATAATACTTATGTTCCTGATAAAAATATCACTTGATATGCGATTATAATGTTACATAATCTAAGTAGTAAATGAAGCAAAAAAACCTTCCCATCACGATGATTCTGTAAGAAAACATTAAAAAATAGACTTTAGTACTACTGTTTGTTTGATTTGACAACGCACATGGATATGACGGGAGATACTTATAAGTATACAAAGAAGATAATTATTGTACGATATGAAGCAGATCTAAAGAAGCAGTTAACATATTCCCTTTGCCTTTATTTTGTTGTCGAAATAAATGACCTTCAAGTTCTTCTAAAAGAAAATTCAGTATTTGCTACATAAAAAGAAAATAAAAAAATTATTATAAGCACACTGGAGGAAATAAATTTCAATTCCCCTTGTTGACGGCAATTGTTTTTCTAACAGTATATCGCAGTCGAGAAATCGATTTGTCCTTTGAGATGGAGAAATATCGTGATTATTTTCTAATTAGCAATCGTCGCCGTTTCATAAATTTCACATTACTCTGATTTTGCGTGAAATAATGTTACGACCTTGGGTGTATGTTAATGAGACTAAAATCAAAACGAGTCAATACTGAAGTCGACACCAACTTCGTTATTTTAAATGAGATATCCTATTATTGCATTTTCGTATTCTACGTTAAATTTGAGGGTCACTTTATTAAATATTTCCTATACCTAGGAGTTATAGATTTTGAGATATTAATTTTTAAAGAAAAAATTTGACAGATGCAAGGGTTCACAGGGATGCTAATAACTCTTTTCAAGAGCACAATATCAAGCGGATTTTTGGTACCTGTAAAGGGCATAAGTAACACTAAATTATGGTATACCAATAAATTAAAACATTTAATACTAGGTGTTTCATTTTTGCTCTTACATTTTGATAACTTCAAACAGCTATAACTTTGTTAACTTAAATGGAACACCCTATATTTTTTTACTCTGCTGTTACTACTTTTAGAGATATTTGTAATTTTCAATATTTTGGACAGTTTTTTTCGTATCAGACCTGTTGTCAAATTGGCCATGACCAGAAACACTTCAAAAACAATTGAAATAACATGACATTTGTCAAGTTAGTTGTCAAATTTTGTTGCGTCTGAATAGTTTGTGCCGAAAATTTAAATAAAAATGCCTGGGGATTGTTTGAATTATACTAATGAGGAATGTTTTAATTTGTTTGTTATTTTTTAATAGGATTTCATCCTGTAGAGTTAACGAATTGTTCGGGTTTTTTGAGACACCCGATATATTAGTAGGTGGGTATAATTACTGTGTTTACCACTTGTTTAGAAGATTTATAGTTATTTAATCGTTACTATAACATATGCTATTGTTCAAACACGTAATGAAATAATTGCTTCTTCGTTCACCAGATGTGGTGAATAATTTTTCTGCTTGTTATAAACCAGGTTGGATAATACGTGAAAAATTATAAATTCGCTCAAATAACCAATAAAATCTGTTATGATAACAATTATGTTTGTTTGCCATGTCCGTGATAAGATGAGCCAAATAGAGAAACTAATTTAGTAATAAATATATGTTTTTGAGATAGGTACGATATAAAGGAATAGTGGAATAGATTTTATCTACTTAATTGGCTTAAGTTTAAAGTGAACGTTACAACAAATTGAGTAAAGAAGGCGTTAGTAATGTACACTAGTCACAAACATTAAAGGAAAAAATAATAATCCCAAATTTTTAAAGATTTTCAAAAAAAAAAAAAGTTTTCGAATTTGTTTTTTTTTATATTTGAGTACAAATTGAGTAAAGGGAGCTTAGTAATATGCAGTAGTCACAAAAATTAAAAGAAAAAAATAATAATCCTAAATTTCTAATGATTTGCAAAAAAAAATCAAGTTTTCGAAATTTTTTTTTTAAATATTTGCAATATTATTTTATTAATTTTTATTATTTATTAATATATTTTTTAATATTCAAATATTGTAAAAATAAATTTCGGAAAACTTTTGTTTCTGAATTTTTGTTTTATTTTTTCTTCCTCTACAATATTTGACATTTCTGATAAAAAAATGATTTGGATTTTTGAGAAAAAAATCATTCAATTCAAAAGAATGAAAGGATACAAACTTTATCCTTTAACAGACGTTTAACAAAAGTGACAGTTTCAATCATTTGTATCACAAGAAAGAAAATTCACAGCTGTTTCAACTCTTGACGGTTACTTTGGGATACTTTAAATTAAAAAAAAAAACTTAAAAACCCTTAGTATATCCATTACACAACCACACACAAAAAAAGTTGTCTGTCCTTTTCATGCGACATATGTTATCCGTTGTATTTTTGCCTCCTGATCACGAATCCGGTGTCAGAATTGAGCTATCACATCGCAGGGATTTCCTAACCTCAAAAATCAGGTCAAAAATAGCAAAAATTCAATTTTTAAAAAATAATAGATTCGCGCCAAATTTGGTATACGGGGATTCTCGGGGTCGCTGATCACAGATCCGAGGTCAATTTTGCAAAATTCAAGATGGCGGATCGAAGATGGTCGACCAAATTTTCAAAAAAATAACAGATTCGCGGCAAATTTGGTTTACGGGGGTTTTCGGGGTCGCTGATTACGAATTCGAAATTCATTTTATAATATTTCTGTTTACTTGATAACCTGAGTATCAATCATATTTTAACCTTATTTTTTCGGCTATATCTTTTTATTTTTTCTGTCAAAGATCTATTCACGGGTTTTCTGCCTAATCTCAAGTAATAAAGTACTTAGGTACCTAATTGATTAAATTTTTAAAAACGAATTTTGTAAATCTGATCTCGGACTCGCGATCAGTGACCCCGAAAACCCCCGTATACCAAATTTGGCGCGAATGTGCCATCTTTTGAAAATTTGGTCGGCCATCTTGGATCCGCCATCTTGAATTTTGCAAATTTGATTTCGGATCCGTGATCAGCGACCCCGAAAATCCCCATATACCAAATTTGGCGCGAATCTGTTATTTCTTGAAAATTCGTGATGTTTGACTTTAGTTGACACGTTTTTTGAGGTTAGAAACAGAACCATCAATTCTGACCACGGATTCACGTTCGGTGCTGTCTTAACCACATAAGTGAACATTTGAACATAGAAAATTTTTTTTTGTATTTTTCCTAGCACTTTCTCGTGAATTTTTGGTATTTTTTACTTGTTTTTTGAGGTTAGGAAATTCTTGTGATGTGATAGCTCAATTCTGACACCGAATTCGTGATCAGTAGGCAAAAATACTACAGATAACATGTCGCATGAAAAGTAGACAACTTTTTTTTGTGTTGCTGTGTTATTCCAAGTTTAATAAAAATCCATAAATACGCAATTTTTTACGTTTTTGAATCAAGTTTCTTGTATCAAAAAACAGCAAGCAGATTTTTTATAGAGGATATTTAAATGCTTTCAAGACACATGCTTAGATTTTCTGTGCGATCATTAATTATCGGGTAATTAATTATCAGAGCCAAAAAGGTCATTTTTCCTTAGGATCGTCCTCCAAAGCGACAAATCGTCGTATAAATCTCTTGAATAGATTAAATTAAAGAGAAGGAATCAAGGCCAAAAAAGCTGACAGGTGGGATTTCCAACAAAACTTATTAAAGCCTTGAACCTTTCGAAAGGGAGGCAAATATTTTGAATTTCTTTTCCGCTGGATGTCTTAGGATTTTTCACTTTGCAGCCTTTTGAAAATTTACGATGTAAAATCCTTTAATAATTGTGACTAGTTTATACTTTATAAAATTAAATAACTGATGAGATTTTCCTTTAAATTCTATAAAATTCGGTTTTATTCGGCTATACCTCTTTAAATCGACGTTGTTCTTATCTCGTATTGTGAAAAGCAATAGCACCTCACTCTGTTGAACTTTGAAAGTCAAACGAATCATTAACAACAAGACTAGAGCCGGGAAATTTTTACTAACTACTCCGTAATCTACTTTCATTTTATACGCCTTCCCTTAACATTCCCGCCGAGGGTATTATGAAGTACACCAAGGCGGTTGTAGCTTTTTTACGAGACGACTCCACTTTTATGCACTGGAACGTAAAAAGGAACCGGATCCATTACTTACTACAAGATTCTCATCCTTAGTCTCCTTCCCATTTTCCTGCTTGTGCAGTTCCATGTCTTCCTTCAGGAATCCCGGATTTTCCTGCAAAAACAGCCACAGGTTCACCTCACCGGCTTGGCAATTTAAAGAGAGCAACTTACGGACATCGTCGGAAATAAAGGGCATTAAAAAATGTGGAGAATAACTGCAGTTTTAACTGGATCACTATTGTTTTCACTATTGGAGATTAGGCGGGTTTATGAGATGTTTGTTGTACTGAAATACCTTTTCTTTCTGTGAGAATCACTGCAATTACCTGATAAACATCGTATTTTGCCGGCTCGCCAGGTCCGGACTTACAATGGGCAACTGGATAATATACAGGCTGTCTCAGGAAGACCTCCCGTAAATACAGGGGGTGATAGTACGACAAAAAATAAGATTTTTTTTGTCTTATGAACCATGTAAATTAAAATAAAATAAAACTTTTGAAATACATTTTTTGCGGTAATTTCCAAACGGTAAGCAATATTTTTATTGAATTTGGTATTCCGTTGTTTTTAAGGACGCCAAATACTCTGGTCTAGTTATTTTTTGGATATTTCATAGAGGGCGCTAGTTATGCTACATTCCTATCACATATTACGTTCTAATTTTTTTAAGGTTAGGTTTTTTACGATTCGGGCTTCATTTTCCAATGTATAATTTTATTTTCTAAAAATAATGTACTCGTGTTAGAACTTTCTAATTTGGACAGTTTTCGAGAAAAAAAGATTTTAATTGAACTCTTACAATATTACATCAGGAAGTTCTAACATAATGATAGCAACCCAATAAACAATAATATAATTAGTTGTTTGAAAAAGTAGTGTCAGAATTATATATTGTAATTCATATTCTAAGTGTTTAATTCAAAGTAAGCTCAGAAAGTGAAGATGAGCATTTGCCAGGGGAAGTATTGGAAGCGGCATCGGCACAAAGTGCTGTTTCACAATTAATCTCCAAAAAATCGTCGAGACAGTACGAGATTGTCTACAACGAATTCAAAGTTCGAAGAAAATTCAAAAAATGTCCGAAGCGATATTACTGGCATATTTCGTACATAAAATTAATAAAATTAAACGACGTTATGATCAGTATATTCTATGTTAAAAAGTACATTGAATACCAAAAAATGTAAATATCAGAAAATTTCCAAAACTAATACCATATTTGAAAAGCAAATAATTGGATACCGTCCGAAAAGAAATATAGAAATTTCAAATAATGGTGCCAGAACAAAAATACTGGTGTTTCTGAAATGTCACTGCTAGTATATTTCATGGAGAAGTCAAGAATTTTAAAGTTACCGTCGAGTTTGTGGAGTGAATATTCAATGATTAAGTCTTTAACTATTTTCATAGAGAAGAATGTGGATATATCAAAATACCCTAAGCTGAGAGCATTTTTGAAACGTAAAATGACGGCTATACACCTAAAAATTCAAACGTTTTTACAAGAGATCTAGGCAACGATTTTCTCGTTCAGGCACCCGACAACACATATTTGCTAATGAAGGTAGTGACGGTCTTAGGCATTGCAGGAGCATGCCGTTCTGATGAGTTATGCAAACTTACTTTGAACAATGTCAATTACAATTACTTCTCGTCTGGGTTCTGTTTCTGTCCTAGAAATTCTCAAGAAATATATCAAGATTAGATTGGAAATTAAAACTGAAATTCCGTGCTTTTTTATGCGCTATCAAGCAGGTAGATGCTATAATCAACCAGTCTGTAAGAATACTCTTTCTATGATTCCTAATAAGCTTGCACAGTTTTTTAAACTAGAACATCCTGGAACATATACAGGCCATTCATTCCGAACAACATCGGCAACGTTACTGGCTAATACAAGAGTTGATGTATTAGCAATCAAGAGGTGGGTAGAAATCAGCCACAATTGCAGAAAGTTATGTGGCTGAAATGGAGCGGTCAAATCATTTTGAGAAAAATGTGATAATTATTAAAGACGAGAGGAATAATTATCGAGATTTTATAAATGTTACTAAATGTAATAACTGTACAATTACTATAAATATTCATTCATAATAATTAATAGAATGTAATGTTTATCAAATATTTCTATTTATTTGTTTATAAAATATACATTTATATCTCGAAATCGCTTTTTTCCTAGCGATGTAAGTTACCTCACTTACTTTCCGTTGTCCATAGCAACTTCCACTTCTACGGTAAAATCCACTTACCTCCTTAGTCTATTTACTATAGTGGGAGTAGATAGAAGTGTTTTGCAGTTAGGTGACAAAAAAGACTCACTTTGTAAACCGAAAAAACGAAAATGTCGAATTTTGATGACAGTTTTCGAAAAACATGTTTTCAGTCTTGTAAAAATAAGTCCGTTTGTAAGGAAAGTGAGGGAATTTATTAGTATACAGATAGACTATAGGTAGAACGAATAAAGTAGTCATTATTAAGATACCCACGATTTAATAAAACATTTTCTGCCTATTCAGAGTTCGGTCCTGCTTGCTAATTGGTCTGTTTATAATATTTACCTAACTGTGTGCGGCTCACCTATGAAACAATGGTCTCATAAACAAAAGTTTACTCGTACGTATACTTAAACCGTGGCATGTTAAATATTTGAAAACGATAAACCAAGTGAGCGAGATCACATTATCGTCTTATATTTACAAAAGTTACAAAAGTTCCAGGCAAACAGAATAACTTAAAATTGGTAAAAAAAATTGGTAACCGTGAAAATTCTAGGGTAATTAAAAGGACAGATAAATACTTATATTTTGTGTGTCCAAGTAATTTTTCGAGTAATGGTATATGGAATATTACGATTTAACCAAACTTACCTCAGTCCAAGAGTTGGTACTTGGTTATTTTTAAATAACCTTTTCAAAATTACAGATATTGCACAAATTTTGGACATCGAAGATTTTTTGAGGGGACGAAATCAAATCAGATCATAATTTTGCTATCGGTTATTAGGGGGCGCCAGTTGAGGCACATTGCATGTCTTTAAAGTGCCTTTACTTTTTTGCGCCTTGGTATATCTGCCTCTTTGATTTTTTTTTCATTTTCCTTTCTATTTTACGTTAAAAATATATACTTGGCAAGTATCGCCACGAGTAACCATTTTCAATATGTTCCTTATTGTACCAAATTATTTAAATTCGTTCAATTGGTAACGAGTTTTTTTCCGTTCCAGTTTTATTGTGGCACAAATTTCCTCCAGATTTTTTTGCGAGGTTAAAATTTTCCTGTTTAACATTACGTAAATTAAATTATTTAATTCAGCTATTATTAGTTATGAGCAAACGCTTGTTTCTATATAAATATATGATATGTGACATACTTTTGCTTAGACTATACAAATAAAATGCAGCTTCTTCATAGATATACGTATGTAATTAGTAATTAAATAAACAAGTAAAAATGTAGTACCTATTGTAAATTAGAACGCCCGGTTTATTTATTACCTTTTTAAACAATTCTTTCCTCAACATTTACATGGATTCTAAATTTATATACGTCTCTTGAAAATTGCATAAAATTATTCCAATTCAAAAGGATAGATTTCGAAAATTCTACCATATTTTACGTTGAAGGCTTTTTTGGGTAGATTTCGAAACGTTAAGTTTCTTTAGGATGCATTTTTGTGTGTATCTCGCAAACTAAACGAGATGCAGGGAGACCAAGGGCATATCCTAGTTTTGCCTAGCTGATATACAGTTAATTTTGGTGTGGAAAAGAAAAATTTTGTTAATAATGATTCCTGCACCGACTTTCATACGGGTTGACTTTGTTTAATTGTACGGAAAATTACAAATGCTATCGTATTTTGCATGAAAAGTTGATTCAGGTAGATTTTGAGGGTCTGTGATTATTTCCTACAAATTTTACCGAAGAAGAAATTTCGAGTCTCCGATACCAATTTTTTCAGTTTCATGTTGTGTCAGAAAAAGCAAAAAGGTCCGGAAGCTCCTTTTATCCTGCAAGAATTATTTTTCAAAATTTGATTTTATTTTCAGTAATCTTCAAGAGCCAGGGCATGCTCAAGAACTACGTTGAAAAAGACTGAGATAAACTCAGAAAATTACCCCGATTCCGAGAGCACATCGTAATCGTATCAAAGATCACCTAGATTTCAACGCGGTCTGGTTAGAAAGGCGATCGAACGTCGACTTTACCCACTTCCAGCTGCAAATATTTGTAAGGAGTAAATATGGTTTGATACATAGTGACAAAGTCGATTTTGCGTTCCAGAATGGAATGTTTATTATTGAAAGCGACAATTGACAACCTAGCATCAAAACGCATATTATCATTGCGGTTAAAAATTACTTTTAATTTTCTATTTTTGTCATTGCAATTTATCTTATCACCTACGTCCTAGTCAATTAGTATGTAAATCATTTTATAATGATTTTAGCTGTGTTATTAAAGCATTAATATTTAGTTTTATATGATTTCCTTACATAAAGTGGTAAGCCTTTTCATGTATTTGGATCATGACAACAGATAACCAAATTTTGTATCTTGTAGAGGAGTACATTTTCAAGGATGTAATTTATGCAAAATTACCTCACTATAGTACCTACCTATTATGTAGATCAATTTGGATTTCTCAAAATCTACTACAGTTCTCTAAAACCAATTTATTATGCCGACTATAATGGGTTAATGTATGATATATTTAGGTACAGCCGAATCATGTGTTCCTCAGGGATCTAATCTTGGACCCCTATTATTTGCGATATTTATTAATGACTTTACAAAAATTATTAGATGTTACTCTGTTTTTTTTTAAGTTTCAATTAGACAGTATTGAGTACCATGAACTATTAAATTCAGTAAAAATATAATAATTATAATACTAGATATAAAACCAGTTCTACACGAATCCCTAAAGAAAAAAGTATTTTGCAAATAAATTGTACTTACCTTGTTTGAATGTTTAAGAATAAAGAAAAAAAATTGACATACAGTTTATCTATACTAGATGTTCATAATTATCAACTTTAATAATTTTTCCATATTTTTAATTAATTAATTAGATAATATTTAATCAAATATGCATGTATACTTATTTATAAGTACATTATTGATGCCTTCAGTGTATTATCATTATTTTAAGGGAGAACAAAACGCAAAACGTAATTATTTTTGTTTTATTAAACATTTACAATACATATAATTTTAAGTAGACACATATATTAACAATAAATAGGTTAATAGGTGATCAAATATCAATAAAAACTCCCAATTATACTCTGTAACCAACTTTACCCATGCATAGCATCAAATTTGATACATTCCAAACGTGGAACAAGCTAAAATTAAAAACTAAATATTTCTAAGATCAAGTGTTGCCTTCAGGCTTTGAACCGGAATCTTCCCCTCTTTCGATAGCGGGCAGATCTCTCTTTGTAACGGAATAAACAGTATACGCTTTGTTGAGCACCTGGTGGATCCCGTGGAAGCAATTCATCTTGATGTTGTGCTTCTCATACTCCAAGTGTTTCTGCAGAAAGAACCTGTTCAACTCATGGACGTGTGGATGGGTCATATACTCTTCTATATCCATCCACTTGCAATCCGCGATTTCGCGTTCGCACTTCTCTATGTCCTCACTCAGAGGCCTAAGACTGACTACCGCGTAGATGTCCGAACAACCAAACATGCCACCGTGGGCGTGCCTCAGGGTCAGGACCGACTCGAATTCGGCGGAGATGCCCGTTTCTTCCCACACTTCCCTGATGGCGGCGTCTACCAGATTCTCACCTGAAAAATGAGAGAGGGGGAGGTCTTTTGTGGTGCATCTGTGCATTGCACCAAGTGCGTTGGAGGTTTGACTGCCACAAAGATTGGTTAATTAAGAACCTTAGACATTAGTTTGTCCACAGAACAGAAAATTCGATAATGTTGGTATTGCGCGAGGGAATGAGAGTGGTATGTTGCTAGCATAACGATTAGTCTATTCCTCCTGTATACTGTATACTGTGATCACGCTGTATTTATCCCTTATTTTCACCACCGATAGCTGCCTAATAGGACGTTATTTCAAGGTCATCTTGATACTGGTAGTGTTATTCCTCGTGCCTAAGGAGAGTTTTGGATATAACTAGACCTATTCGAGATGCAGTTAATATTACTCTCATATAGTGTTCATCTATAATTCATATATAGTTCATTTATACTTAATCTACTCTATGCTGAAATAATAGCAGCCAAACTTCCACCATACCGTACAAAATCTAACACCTGATGCATCGTTGTTTCATTGCTGACAGTCTTTAATCGAAAGTGACAAAAATTGGTACTTGTATTATTAGTTGGCTTAATTTAATCGTTTTAACAACTATTGCCGACCAATTACCAATGATGTGGAAGCAACGACTCTGCGGACTGTAGCCCCGACCGGCAGGCACGGACCAGTAGTAGTGCTCATTTGTAAATAATATTGTATTTATTATTTAAGTGGCAACATCTCTACCCACCTGGTTCGACATACCCTCCCGGTAATTTCCAAAACGGCCTGTTCAGGATGTTGTACTTCTCCGTCACCACCAACACTTGGTCTTTGTTGTTTACCACCACCGCTCCAACCCCCACCATCGTGTGGGCGTAGTGGGGGATGTTACAGTTCTCTAAGATCGGCAACCAGCGGTACATCATCACGTAGTCTTCTTTGGCGTGGTGGTATTTGAATCCGTTCTGAAATTAAAGTTAATTTTGATTCTACGGGATGTAGAATATGTAATTGATAGTTTTTTGCTAAAATGTTAGCAGGAAAAAAGTGAAATTGAAAGTAAACATGCTTGGTTTTTTAATAGAAAATTGTTAAGATTCCGTTCTCTGTACACTGCTATGGTATCGCTGCGGGGTCGGGTGCACGGGCGTTACAGCTGGAGGCGGAGACTATCGCTCTCCCACTACGATGATTTTACAGTGGACGTATTTAGGTTGATTTAAACGTGAAACTAACGTTACAATTTTTACTTCAATAATTGTGTCAATTTAGAATTAATACAATTATTGTACCGCAATTGTACAAACAAATTTCATCGCAATACAAAATTGAATAACCGACATCCCGTGGACGTCAATTTAACGCTCCTTCTCTTTTTTGGTTTTATGAGAAAAAGTTATTCTTGATGAAGAGTTCTGCATGGCCTAAAATCCAAAATGAAATAATCAGATTTCAATTTTTTGCAGTCGTATACGAGGTTTGTCGAAAAATGTAAATTTTGCTCAAGAGTAAAGTACCTTTATTTTTTAAAATATCGACAATCGTTATTTAAAGTTGATCCAAATAGAAAACTACGGTCAGGTATCCAATATTATCCATTTACCATTAAAAAACAGATTTTGTTATTTTTACAAACTCTTCTCCGTATTAGCATTGATAATTTACGTCTAGAGATAGACATTAAATCTAACAGGTAAGGTAGTCGGATTTTTGTAATTTTTGATATTTATGGTATGTGTAGTTTGGACCTTGAATAACAATTTTTCGAAGTAGTTCTACGCTACGTTCATAATTTACCGAGATAATCGATTTTGAAGTTTTACCTGACAGCTAAATCCACTAGATGTGACACACTCCTCAACTGGGAGCGTGGCCTAATAGGTAGCGTTAGGAACTGACAGTCAGTATATCGCTAGTTCGAGTCCGTCGCGTGATTTTTTTTTTTTTTTTCATAACGCACCATATGGTATTTTATTATTTTTTTTCATCTCGAAAATTATGAACAAACGAAATATTATAATAAATACTTATGTATATGTAGGAATATTCAAATATTTCATTAAAAAGCACAATTGGTTGATAAACAATATTTATTATGAACTAACAATAAGATTTCATTAAAAAAAACAAACGAGGTCAGGTAGGATGTTCTTTTATTTTATATTTATGTTACTATTTGACACGCAGTGTGGCACGAGCCAGAATAGTAGTTATCATAAAAAAAATAGGAAGCAGAAATTTTTTCCTTTCTTTTTTTTTTCTGATCATGAAAATTATGAACAAACGAAATATTATGATAACTGTATGTAGGAATATTCTTCAAGTGTTTAATTAACATTTTGAGCTAGGTTGTGTGGGTCGTCCACCGTGTTTAAAAAAAACACACCTGCTCGGGCATAGAAAGTTTCTGCTTCTCATGTTTCTATGATAACTATCATTCTGGCTTATGCCACACTGCGTAAAATTTCAAATACTAAAAATAAAATAAAAACCTACCTAACCTTGTTTGTTTTTTTTAAAGAAACTTTATTGTTAATTCATAATAAATATTGTTTATCAACCAATTGTGCATTTTAATGAAATATTTGAGGAATATTTCTACATATACATAAGTGTTTATTATAATATTTCCTTTGTTCATAATTTTCGAGATGAAAAAATAATAAAAAACTATATGGTGCGTTTTGAAAAAAAAATTGTCACGCGACGGACTCGAACCAGTCATCTCGTGACTGTCAGTCCCGAACGCTACCAATTCCGCCACGCTCCCAGTTGAAGAATGCGTCACATCTACTGGATTTAGCTGTCAGGTAAAACTTCAAAATCGATTATCTCGGTAATTTATGAACGTTGCATCGAACTACTTCGAAAAATTCTTATTCAAGGTCCAAACTACACATACCATAAATATCAAAAATTACAAAAATCCGACTACCTTACCTTCTCCTGTAAGATGCACTGACAAACCAATGGAATTTTTGATAGCAAACGTCAAAACGCTAGTTACAATTTATAAAATACAAGAAATGGCAGCTCTGTTAACTTCTTAGGAGAAAATTTAAATAGTTTTGATTGTGGGAGATGATTATAAAACTCATCAAGAAGCGGCAGTCATTTTTAATAACTGGCATCCGAATAGAAATCTCGGAGAATAAGTTCAATATGACCAAAAATAATTAAAAATCGTCAATATTCATCAACGAGCACTCGATCATAATTGAGTTATTTCACTAGTATGACCAGGTGCATTTGGAAACAAAAAACGTATACTTTCTCAAGAAAAACGGCAAAAAACGAAAACGGGATTATTGTCGGCATTTCCTTTAATAAACATGGGCTGGGATGGAAACGCCGAAATGTTGTGCTGTACAAATTAAATATACTATTACTATTAAAAATTTAATTATTACCGCTGATAGTGCAGTAAAAACATTTATTAAAAAATACATTTTTTAGTTTTCCGCTAGAAATAACGTTGCCTGGCTGTGCCGTACAACTTTTAACTCAAGATAGTTTTTATATCAATCTCTGATATAATATCTAATTGGATGCAAAAACTTCTTCCAATGAAAATAAAAGAATCGAACCCCGCAAGATCGATTAATTCAATACTCTCAATTGAAAACGTATAGATTATCACTGACTAGATATTTCTTTGAACTCCGGTCCTGTCCGCAATTACCAATCTCTAAGCCCATCCCACTGAGTAAAACACACGTGGTTGCAGCATTTAAAATATATTCGTTTCTGAAGTTGTAGACGTTCGGGATTTAGCATAGAATTTTGAGTAATTTTTATCAAATCAATATAATTTTGGTATCATTGCAAAGCTAAAAGATAGACCCACTTCCCTCTTGTAAGCAATTTTTGATTTAAGCCTTTATTTTTACGTAAATAAATTGTAAATATGACGATTTCTTGCATAGTTTACTCTTTAAATTTAAACAATTAGAAACCAATTTTGAAAAAACTGTTACAAGACAGCATTAGGAAAACACTTTGTCTTTCGATTGTTTTTTTATTTGGGTATGTTTATTCGTTTTCCAAATATCTGTTTGGGCCGAACCCTTAAAATGGGTTTATTTCAAGCGCGTGACGGACTCTTAAGAACGAATGGCGTCATCAAAATTATCGTAAATTCATAAATACCCAGCGAACAATTACATTGTTTGTTAAAGTATATGTACGCTTATATGATTCACTCTGTATAGCACTCCAATCTCCAGATATATCATATTTCGAGCATCCAGTATATCAAATATTACTACAGCGTGACGATGACGAAAGGAAAAATTAAAACAGTATAAAATCGACGTTATAGGTGATGGCGACATCTAGCGGACATCGCACATACTTGGGATTTCAAATAGTAGATCTCTGTGTTTATGCAATGAAGGAATAGCGATAGCAATAAATTATTAATTACATAATGACCTTCGCTAAGATAGGCACCCATTCCGAGTGGTCCAAATGAACTTTGAACCATATCCCGCGTTTTCCGCTTGTTTTCCAAAATTCAAGGGACCCTACAAAATACATAGTCACTAGACACGCGCGAGTTGTAAATACAGATACCGTACCTTCAAGTTTCTTGGCAAATTCCGTCGAGCCGCAGGGTTCTTTGTCAGATCGCACGGTGACGCCTTGGAATCTGTCGGTTTTGCCCAAAAATATATCCTCGTTTTCTGTGGTGTTCGATGCCATTTCCGACGTCGTGCGAAAACTGAAACAAAATATGTTTATTGTATTGTTGAAAATTATTTCCGCGATATCGACGCACTTTCTGCTAGAAGGAAAACTGGTTATTTTCGGTGACGGTTTGTGTTTCAGTTGACATAACCTATACCTGCAAAACAACGGTATTACGTTAAGAATTATGCGCATTTCATATTGCAGTAGGCGCTGAGGTATTTGTCGCGATCACGGCACTGGCATGAATTTCGCGAGTTACGATAAGATTACATTTAAAAAAAATGATACCAGTGTCGTGATGACATTGACACAAGTAACAACACTTAAGGATGCATAGCGATGAAGGAAGCTATTGTTAAAATATAATCACCTGGATCTTGCGGTGCATTAGTTGGATTCGTGCAGCATATTTGGGCGAAAGTGGTTTTGTTTTTCTGATGAGAATATTGACTTTCTTTGTATGGATTAATAAATTCATGTTGATGTTATCTCGATCAGAGTACGGCGCCATCTCTTGGAGTAAAGCTGTACCAGTATGTCAGTATACAGTACAGAGTGAAACTTTAATCAATATAATAACGTGACGTGCTTGGAATAACCAATCATGCTATGGATAATATCCAGGAATGTTAAGGAGATAATTCAGAAGTCAATTTTGCATGTGCTGTCCTCAGATTGCTCTATGCATCAATACCATTGATATTGATTTACAAAGAACTAGGTAGTAACGCTAGATGGCGCTAGTATAGCAAGTGGCCCAAACAACAGAAGGTGTCTCAAAAAAGACCGGAATGCCCCGACAATTTTTTACAAAAAAAGTTTCAGAATTTCTAAATTTTAGGTGTCAAAGATCAACATATTTTTATTGTTACAGTTGGGGAAATTGTATCATTCTCTCCCAACATTCAAATGAAGAGGTACTCTTTTTGTTTCAGTTATTTATATAGTCCCAAAATTATGGAACAAAATTAATATTTTTTCCAGTTTAGGTTTTAAAAAATCGCTGAAACAGGTCAATTAGTAAATAGAAATTGTCACTTTTCTGCAATATTTTCTATTTTTTTGAGCCATGCTTGACAGACCTATAACATTTCCGATTTTTTTTTTGAACAATACGCATTATATTTTATAGTGTAAATAGATAGCCCTTGTAAAGACGAATTCAGCGATAAAAGGTTGTACCTACTTTTTGTCATAGTTAAAAAAATGTATAAAATTGTCTTATATCGTACTGACGACTATTTCAAACAGTCATAGTCCCTTCTATACTTAAAAAACGTACTTACAATTTATTAATCTGTCTCCCTACAAATTACTGAAAATGGCAGACGTATTGATTGCAATGTCAGAATTTCGCTTAGTTTTTAAGCTTATAATACAACAATGACAGCAATGTTATCAGAATTGTTTCTGGTGATCCAACTTAGCAAGTAGAGATGTTTTAAAATCTTATGAGCTTTGACCTTCATATGCGCAGAAACAAAATTCCAACCGTCGCCTAAATTATTCTACGTCCTAAAAATATTACACCTATTATTCACAGTCTCTCTTGAGCTCTAGCGTAAACAAGCCTTTGATCCGATTACAAATATCATAATAAAATGCCCTATTCTTTATTATTTTAATTTAAACAATAAAAATATATATAACGAACGTTCGCCAGTTGACTTTATTGATGCCCGAGCGCCTTAGTTCATGTCTACTTGTAATGATGCACATGGTCTAGTTCTGAGTCAATNCAGACGTATTGATTGCAATGTCAGAATTTCGCTTAGTTTTTAAGCTTATAATATAACAATGACAGCAATGTTATCAGAATTGTTTCTGGTGATCCAACTTAGCAAGTAACATCTAGGTATTCAATAAGGTGTTTGACAACAACTTTAACTATGTTAAATAGTAATACCTTTATTTATTGACATTATTTAATTCCAAATTTCTTTAGGTTTACCTACTCCAATCTTCTACGTAATACACCAAATCGGTTTTTAAAATATTATACACCGTGTGCGCGTAAGCCAATATCTAGGTTAATAAAAGATATAACTTAATTTTTTTTCTACAGAGTTGCCTACTTTCCCGAGCTGCACAAAATGAAAATATATTTGCATAAACAGGGTGTTTAGTTTTCCCTGGGCAGGTACCAACTTAATTTTTTTAAATGGAAACCTATATTTTTATGGCATTATCGAATTGCGTGAAAAATTACCGGGACTTTGTGTTATGATCCCTATTAAAATATTGATAGTTTTAGAGATAATCGACTTTTAATTTTTTTTCTTATGTTTTGTCACTTCTAGTAGTTGACATAATTATGATTGTATGACAGCTAGAAGTTATTTTTTTTAGGAACTGTAGAGTGAAGATGGTGTTTTCAAAAAACGTATCAAAAGTTGACCTGCGATATACAGGGGCCAAAAAAAATCGTGCCAAACCTGATAATATAAAATTTCAAAAATCTCGACTTTTTCAAATAGAACACCTTGTATTTTATGATTTCATTAGATGCTTCTCTGTAGACCCTACAATTTTTTTATAGCTTTCCCTATACCTAAGTTGCGTAGTTTTTGCAAAAAAAAAACATTTTTATGTAAAATACCGGATTTGCGCCCGTTCCTTTGTCGGGAAAAATATTGTAAAGGTATTTATTTTAAGTTAACTTGCGACTATGAGTATTCTTGTTTCAAAATTCTATTCATTCAAATTTTTTAATCTCCAATTTCACTAATAACTTTCCTAACTACGGTAACAGTGCTTGATTTTTAATATGATACGAATGAAACTTCGTCTTCAATATTTTATTTGTCAAGCTTTTGAAAACTCTAAGGTTACTACTAATTTCCTGGCACTAATATTTGGATTTTCAACAGCGGACGCCACAACTTTAAACTAAACATTATCGTTGTTACTTTCATGTCTCCTGGTAGTTTTCTAATAATTCGCATTTGCTGTTCATTCAAACCTTTCCTTCACATTTTCAAAACAGTGGGTNCTAGGATACCTTTAGGTATGCGGGCCGCTGTATTTGATTCTTCCTAAAATTCTGCTAGTGGTGTACTCTACCGGCAATTCGGAAATTTAAAACTGCTGGCCTATTCCAGGAGCGGTCTGTGGCGATAGCTATTTTGTCTGTGGTAATATACAGAAAAATTGTGTTATATTTTCTACTAGCCACACAAATGGGGACTTGGACAAGGATAGAAACACTTCGTTTCGCTATATTCACATCAGATACTTTTTATTAATGATTTATACATATTTTGATATATCTTACAATACAACTGTCTCATATAATTATACAAGAATACACTTAATACATATCATAAAATATATTTATATTTTGTAAACTAAAACTTGTGCAAGTTTCTACGATATCACATTTGCGTTTGGAACTCATGCTTCATTTCCCGGAAATACACCAAAAAAATATCACCAAATCCCTAGAGACCCACCTCGAAATATAAACGAACTTAAAGCACAAAACGTGCGGATGGTACATGAATGATTTGGACTGGGACCACCCGCACGCTCTCCGCACCTGAATCCGGCAGAGCTTCTTGTGAAAATAAATATTATATTTGCGAGGCAGTCATACAATTTTTATTTTAAAACATATTTTGTACATCCTCGAACATTCCGCGGAATCCTGCGAATTTATGACAATGCTACAGTGATAACAATATCTCTACCCCTCGTTCTAGTCGCGGGCTCGTGTGGGAGAGGGGAAGGCGTATTATTATCCAGCGATTTCCGTGACGTTCGCTTTTATTTGGTGGGAATTTCCCGTCGTCCACCTGGCCGAAACACTCCACGAGATTATAATAATAATTTGGCAATTGATATTTTGGCAGATTCTGGTACACCTTCAAGCCATCCTTGAGCATATAAGTCTAAAGAGTATTTATAAGATACCCTTCTGTATAGGTAACATCAATGTCATTATCATAAACAATCTAAAGTAACATTAACATGGTTAAAGGTCGCTATATAAACACAATATTATACAATTCAACGGTTCATATAGGCCAATCTTCAGATAATCTCTTATAACTGCATCTTAGAATAAAAGGAAAATAGAAAATAAAAAAAATACTTATATAAAATATAGTTATATATTATAGAGATATAGATTTAAAAATATGTTTTATACTCTTATACTGTAGTACTTACATCGCAAAAAATCTACTTATGTACAGGTGCACTACCGAACATGAATCATATTCACAAAAACAGGAAGCGCAAAAAATCACAATCGCTTTTTAACGAAAAAGTCCAGACTAGAGATGGGCACGGTTCGATAATTTAATTGACGGCTTTTCAGCTTCACCTGCTTCTCAGTTGAAGCTGGAAAATCATTCCCTAGGCTACAGTAAGAATTCTCATCTCTAATTCCGATGCAAAATAGGCCTTACCATTAAGATATGCACATTAAGTCTCCAAAAAAACCACTCAGATGTTACTGGATCGTCAGAAATAATAAATTTCCTAAAATTGACAGCGTTGTTACAACCAATATCGTACGGGAAAATTAACTAATTCATTTTTACCCTGTTGGAAGTTCTGAGTGATTTTTCCCGTTTATAAATATATAATATTTATATAAATTCTCTATACATCTACACCTTAATAAAATTAAGTAAATATATCTACTAGAAAAAGGTCTTTTTGACTGAAATCGGAATGTTGCAGGGTGTCCTTATCTTCAGACATAACCTCACTCCGAGGATCATTCCTTTTGTGAACTAGCGCGCGCTTCGTTCTCGTTTCGTCGCTCTCTCTCTCTCTCGCTCGCTCGCTCTCACTCTGGAAGATCTAAAACTTTATGTTCACCCTGTGGACTGGTCTAGAGTCGACGCCTAGCCGTCGATCTAGCGGGAATTCACCATCATGTTCTCCGGATGGGACTCCAGGTTCTGCTGGTACATGCTGTTGTTGTTCTGCTCCCTCGTCGTTGTGTCTTCTGTTGTGTGTGTGTCTATTTCGGCGTTGCTGTCGCTCTCTACGTCTTGTACGAATCTGAAACAATAAGATGGATCAGACCGATGCCTAAAAAATCGATTTCACAAACACAGGAACCATAGAACACGAAATAATATAGATAGAACATCCTGCACCAGCCCACTTGGTAATCTTTGATCGGATATGGCTAGGATAGTATTTTAAACGCGTTCAAAAGACCACAGACAACTATTAAATGGCGACAGACAATAAATTTCCGATTGTAGCTTTCTTTATTTTTTTAACTCGATTGGTACTTATTGTGGACACTGATTTTACAAATTGATAATAGTTATAACTGTTTTAAATAGCACTTTATCCACGCAAGAATGTTTAAACGCGAAAACGCAATTCAAGTGTTTAATATTCTTAAGTGGATAAACGGCAATTAAAACATGAATGCAATATAATATTTTATCCATAATCACATCGCAATCATATTCGTGGAGTTAGAATTATTGGAATTTCATACCAAATTTTATCAAAATCGGTTCGATAGATTTTGAATAATAATTTTGCAATCCAGATTTTGAAAAAAAATTTGTAAATTTTCAAAATTTTGCTCAGCAAAAACCAAGGCCCTTAGATACTTGAAAATTTAATCACGTATAGAAGGGCTCTCAAGCTTTCAAATGCTTCTTGAAAAATTCGAATCCGTCAATTAGGAAAGCTCTGGTGCTTGTTTAAACATTATGTTGCTTTTTTTGGAAGACATGCCTAAAATTTGACTTACAAAAATGTTCTTCGGGGCTTTATATCTCACAAACCAAAGACAATAAGCCCATGGGCCATAGGAAAAAAATTCTCGTTGAACCAACACTTAACTTGTAGTATCTTCTCAAAACATCCTGTATATTATCATCTATCATTTATATCGAGTTATCATAGCTCCAATTAATATATTTACAACATAGGTAAGACTATCATTTCCGGTTAACTTTTATGGTTTTCGTGAATGAGATTGTGGTGTTTGTTACATTAACAATGCAAATTACTGGAAAAATTATCGATTAATGTAATAACTACACCTACAACGATGGTTTTTTATCTATCTTTGCGTCACCGCGGTTATTTCCTGTTACACATTCATACAGGGCAGTCAAAAGAAAAATTAAATTTATCATTTTTTAAGATTTTAATAAATAAATAAGTGTTTTTGTAGTAATATGAATCCGTTTTCATAAATTATATGTTTCCGAGGTTTAAATGTGACGTTATGAGTTATTTTATAGTTTGATTTGTTGCTAACAACTTGATTTTCAAGTATAACAATTCGCTATAAATACATGGATTGTTCTCTTGGTGTATGTGAATCTAAGCTTCATACAGCTGTGGACAAAAAAAGTTTGAGATCTAAAACGCTTTACACAGAACTACATTTTATTGTCCATGACTGTACGCACATACAAGGAATAAAACATCAATTCCGAAAAAAGAAGACCACCTTATACGAATTAATTATTTTTATATTTTGCGTTCGGTTTAGGATTTATAGATATGGCCACTCCCACCTCTTTGTAAGAACAATAAAAACAGTGGACGGTGTAATAAAGTATAATAGTTTTATTACGTTTTACGACCAATAAAAAGTTTTACTGCTCGAAATTAATAAAAGGGAACTCACGTGTAGTGTTTCTCCTCCCCCCTCATCTCGCATATGACATTTGTTAACGCCATTATGTAGTTCTTAGCTAAAGTTAGTGTCTCTATCTTCGATAGCTTCCTCTCCATCTTTATGTGTGGGATTACTTCTCTAAGTTGCTGAAAAAGAAGAGAAGAAGATTTAAATTTAGATTTGGTGGAAATTACGTAAACAGAATCAGTGTTTCAAAATCTACATATCGCGACAGCTGTAGGTTTATTTTATGACAAGTATGTTGAAAATAGCTTTGTTCCTAGTGCATTAGAATCAGATTCCAATAGTCAGTTTTGGAATTATTTTGGACTGCTCTAGGAACAAAGCTGTACTGGTTTTTCTCATTCTGTGATCAGAATTTTTAACATGATGTTATGTGGTAGTGGCGCCATCTTTCAGACAGAAGGAAAAGTTTAATATTAGTGTAGTTATAAATCCACTAAAAATGATTTTAGATAGGATAGGTTTAAAACAGCAATACATTCAGAAATTTGTTTCTGATTGGACAACAAATTCGATTTTATTAGATTTCAAGCATCGTTAGTCGTGTTATTCATGAGAATAGTATCACTCAGGTGAGATCCTGTTGATACGTCATCGCTGTCATCATTAGCGTATGTTCTCTTCTTTTGTTTAATCTTGGCATTTTCTAGTTCTACTAAGCATTTTTATTGTTTTTCTTGGTGTTGTGCTGTGTCAGTGTTATACAGTTTTTATAAGTTTTTTAGCACATTAGTGTATCTATTTGACCAAACACGTGTTGCTTGTTCTTAAATACTTCTAAATCCTTGAAATATAAATTCATTTGAAGTTGTTCATTTCTATAGTATCTATGTAAATAGTACACAAGTGTCAGATTCGGTCTGTACAATTTCAACTATGACAATATGTTGCGGATTGCCTAAATATGTGACGTTACACTAAAAGAGTCTATTCCGAATTTTTTTATGTGCAAATTACTTTGTACTACGTGACGGAAATGTAAGATGCCTCAAAATTTATTCTCGAAACGTTAAAATATTTTCTAAATTCCGCAAGACCTCTAAATATTAACGCGGACTAACCAAATCCGTGAATTTAAAGTCGACTTATCGGTTTGTATCACCGACTTATTGATTTCCTCATTCTTTTACGTTTTTAAAATGGTAAATCGACAAATAGTTCCCTAGCAATCAGATTGGCCTTGTTAAAGGACATTTTAGAGAACGTGGATTAATCGACAAAAACCAGTATCTGTTTCATATTTATTGTGGCTCTGGCTAAGCGTTTTGGCATACATTTTTCGAAGACAGGTTATGGTTTTTCAAGGTTATATTTGTACTTATTATAAATAAGTAACATAAATCTGTTGCTTGTTAGCGGCGGTAATTGTTGTTGTATATATTTGAATGTTTTAAAACTATATTTATAGCAACTAACGCAGATAATGTTATAGGTGTTTCTGTGATGCAACTTTTTTGTTTGAGGACTTTCGACCGGCCTTAGCGTGGAAGAATTCAAAATATTTTTTTATAGGTTCAATATATAAATAACAAATAAAACTATGGTGTGCAATTGTTCGAAGTTATGACCTTTTTATGTTGGAAAAATGACATGAAATCGTGATGGAATTCTAAACTTCGTCCGAATAAAAAATCGTCAAATTTTTGTAGTAAATACTTGCTACACGTGTCAAATATATTGGCCTTTCACTTTAAATGTTTAGAGAAAAGAAACCGAGCTCCTAATTAAACCAATTTTGATATACTTGAACTGTTTTTTACTGGCCTTTTAAGAAACTAGTTTTAATTTCGGATATATTATCTTCAGTTTGAATATGTAGCCGAAAATAGTTATTTTTGTATCTACAATGAATTCAAAGGGTGCTGTAGTTCGAAGAAAATTCAACAAGTGTTCGAAGCGGTATTACTGGCATATTTCGAACATAAAATTAGTAAAATTAAACATTCGACGTTATAGTCAGTATATTCCATGTTAAAAATGTAAATATCAGAAAATTTCCAAAACTAATACCATATTTGAAAAGGAAATCAGTTGGATACCGTCCGAAAAAGTCCAGAGTTCTAACGAATGAGGAAATTGTGAGATTTTTACAAGAAACACCTGCTAATAGATTTCTGCTAGACAAGGTAATTCAAATTAATATAAATCGATTGTTTTAACTAATTTTGGACAACTTTTCAGGTCACTTTAATAATTGGTGTTTGTGGAGCTTTGAGAAAAGATACTAAAGATAACGACCTATGATATAGAAGACAAATATTCAATTATTTTAAGATTCCCGATTCCAAAACTCATACTTCGAGATGTTTTGTGATTTCAAGTCCAGATCAAATGAAGATTTATCGCAAAATGTGTTAACCAAGTGGTTGGTATCAACAAAATAAGGAATATGCCAAAAGAAATAGCAACTTATCTCAATTTACCTCATCCGGAAACTTATACATATCACTGCTTTAGATGTTCTTACGCCACTCTGTTAGCTGATGCAGGGGCCGATACTACCACCATTAATCGATATGGGGGTGGCGTTCTAGTACGGTAGCGGGGACATAATACATAGAAGATTCTATATAAAATAAAGTTTCAAAAAAATGACAAATTATTTTGACATTTGTTTTATGTTCTATAACATAAAAGTATTTTGCAACTAGGTGACAAAAAAGACTCACTTTGTCAACTTAAAATTTAACGAAATTGTCGACTTTTGATCACAGTTTTCGAAAAAAATAATGCAGGTTAACAATATGTATTCGTGACAGATAATGTTGTTGGTGATTCAAAAGAAACTGGTGAAGGCTTATACGTAAAGTTTCATTTATGTCTATAGAAAATCAATTCATTTAATGGAATTATAGTAAGGACAGTTAATTTTCACATTATTTAACGACACAGGAATTTCCTTAATATTACATTCATTTTTTTTCCCAAATATCAGAACTTTTGTAACGCACAACATATTAAAATCAATCAGCGAACTAAGTTACTCATACTCAATATTTTCCATCAACGCTGATACAATATTATTTCAATACTTCTCGCTGAACTATGGCTATCTATTCTCCAATTCACAAGGAATCTATTTGGTTATAAATGAGTCCACGTTATAAACATATCAAAAATAATTTTTATATCATCAAAATACTCAGTCATCATGGTCCCATTCTCGTCACATATCAAACCATTGAGAAACCCACAACTAGTACAATAGAAGACAAAGTTCTGTGCTTTGATATTCAACATAACGTTCATACTCTGTCCATTGATGCAGAATTACTGACACAGGACTACCTAATTGCTCACAGGACCAACAAGAAAAGGTAATACACCAACACACCTGAAGCAGTAACTATTCCAAGGTGCATAGCACCCTCTTAGGTTGAACGACGTTTCCAATCAAGCCTCACTAGAGTGAGTAGGTCAGCGGGAACACCCAAATTAGACTGACCACAGTTTCCAGTCCATTTTCCACAAAGACAGAATTCAGCAAGTCGATTCAAAACACGATGATCAAAATGTCGCTCCCATATCCTTCTGGATACTACACCGCCATACACCATGTATGAGGCTTCTTTGATACCTGATTGAAGAATCCGATCAGCTTCTAGTGTGTAATTTGGCTCAGAGTTAATTCTTGATAATAAACGTCTATACAAAGAGTTCAAACGATTCGAAGAGCCTTGTTTTCCACTGGTTCCATGAAATATTTGTGTCTTTTTGGTCCAAGTACCAACTCTTTGCAGAGCTTGATTGCATTTTTATGTTGTATATCAGTGCATAATTTGAATAGTACTAAAAGATAAAATGAATTTTATCTGAATTTGAATCTTTTTTCTGAATGCTAGCATATATTCAAATTATAGCCTCTATTTTGTTTCAGAACCTTTCAACAACGAAATGAGGGGGGCTCTGGAACGTACCCAAGGCAGTGGGATTTGGATTTAGAAAGGTAGGTGAGAAATAATTAAAGTTACCTCAAATGCATCGTTGAGCGAGTGCATTCTCATTCTTTCTCTCTCGTTGCTTTCCAGTCTTCTTAAGTTTCTCTCTCTCGCACTGATGCACGTTTTACGCCGCCTGATTGTCGTCCCACTCGACGCACTACCACTTGACGCGCTACCTAAAAAGAAGATAATAAAAAATTAGGAAAAGTGCGGTTTAATGTTACGATCAGCATCGAATTACATCCGCAATATTTGGTAAACAAATAGGTAACAGATACTTGTGGTGTCTCAACGACAGACATGGAGAGAGTGGTGGTAAGATATAACAATGCTACATCCAATGCAGGTTGCTCTCTGTCAGTTCGTACGTTTGAAGACCTAGATATTGTGTGGCAATGACTACTCATATTTAGGAAGCATTGTTATGTCTCACTTATAACTATTTCATAAACAACAGAGTTGTAGACGTCAGATAAAGAACGTTAATTCATGAAAAAGCCAGGCTTTGACTACGACGTCTTAGATACTGTTGCATAATAATTGAACAAAGAATAGAACTAGTTTGTGTAAGATTAATTGGGGATGTCGAGTGAAAGAGACACTCGTACTTGTAAGTTACAGATTTATGTTAATATTTCATTTGTAAGCGAAAATTTCTAATTTTAAGATTCCATTGGCTTCTGATGGCAAACTTTCATTAGATCTCGATGTAATTCTATCAAAGTTTCGACTGAATTCGAAATGAATCTTAATGAGAAACCATTAGAATAATATTCGAATTTTATTTAATTTGGGTCCATTGAATTCTAACAATATATTACTTGAATGAGTTTCGTTTGTTTTAGGTTTTATTGGAAATTCATTAGCATTCAAATCGGATTCCAATAGTATTTTATATTCCATGGGATTCTAATAATATTTCAAATTCAAAACGGATCTTGAACAGAAACACTACAATAATATCCGAATTTTATTTCGCTTGGTTTGAGGTTATATTCCATTTTTTAGTTGAATAAGTTTTATTTTCAAATCCACTAACGTTTAAATAGCATTCCAATTGTATTTTTATATTTCATCGAATTCCATTGAACTACTTTCTTTACCAACCGAATTCGAATTGGATGTTATTAGAATCCAATAAAATAATATTTCAGTTGCTTTTTTTATTTTTGTTATATTGCAGTTCCATTTGAATTCTGAAAATCTACTGGCATTCCAACTGGATTCCAATTTGATCTCAATGGGGACTTAACAGAATCCAATTGTATATTGCAAATTTATTAAGATCCCAGTTGGTCTATAAAACTAGCATTGATTTTAACATCGAAACATTAAAATTTAATAAAGTTTCATCTGGATTTTATTATAACTGGATTATGACTAGGTTTTAATAATTACACAGCATCAAAAAAATGTAGTGATACCCGTTGATTCCGAAATGATCATGAATTCCAATGTTTTTCCAATCACTGACTATTAAAGTCTTGGAAAACCTTTTACTACAGGAATTTTTAGATGTTAGGGTCAAAGCACGAACTGATCCAGGCATTCTGATTTTAGATTCGGATTCAGGGGATCATAGTCCAAGGCCCGACTAACTTTTTTTTTGTAGCGCTGCTTAATCGATTGATTTTAATCTAAACTAGCCTCACACAACATCTCTTTCATTACACTTAAGTGAATATCGCCGTTATTTCGCTTACAAAATTGCCATCATCAGGTTAGAATCTTTTTCAGGGTTATATAGCGTAGAAAAAAAATTACCTCCGTGTTTCCGTCGCTTCCTGCCTATAGCTTCATCACTACTGGACTCGGTGAGATCATCCCTCCCGTCGTTATTGTGTTTTCTGAGCTCCATCTCTTCTACTTCGACGTCCTCTTCTTCTTCATGCCAGGGCGCCGTCATTTCGAGAGACCGCATGGTTCCCTAAGCACGCTGCAACAAAAAAAAAAGTGAGAAACTCCAAGTATGTTGCTGGGAAAAATTAAAAGTACTACGGCTTATAAGTCTGTTATTTTTGACATTTATTGGATTCAATCCGCCCACCCGCGTGCGCCGCTGCTGCCTGTGAAGTAACATTTCGTCACGGGTTCTTTGCCTCATTGTGAAAGTAATAATTCTGCGCCGTTACAAAATATCTTTCACTTAGAGAGTAAACGAGGAACGAGGCAAAAAAAGACTGCCATTAAATGGCCATGTCGTAAATGTTCTTGTTGACGGTGAGGTGTGAAACGTTCAATTTATTGGAAACGGAATACTGCGACTGGTATATTTGGTTTCTGCGGACAAAAACACAAACGGAAAATAAGCGGTAGCGTTAATTTTACATTTTCCCCTAATAGGCTATATAGAGTAAACGTCAGAATTGAAATTTTGATTTTAAAGTTTGTATTAGGACATTATTTGAGGTTATAAACAGGTTTGTTTTATAAAAATGTTGTGTAAAATAATAAATAATGGAAATTCTCTCGAGTATTTTCGTGTTTTTTTAATTTATGAGCACCCTGTATATCTAATCTAAGATGTTTGTATGATAGTCTTATTTTTTCGAAGAGCAGGACTTTTTATAAAGAGTGACATTTTTCGATAAAGTCAAAAACAAAAGAGTTTGTCGTCTTGTCAACTCCATCCGTGGACACACTGTATATATATTATTAATAAACTTTATTGTACTTAAATTCTCAAGTTTTTACTAAATTATTTTATTAAAAAAGTAAAAAAAATAAAAGAATCTTATTTTTTGCATTCTTTAAAATGGTTTATTAACGTTTTTTTGCATAAAATTTCCCTTTTACATTTTTTAAATCAGCCATTTCGATGAGAAATTAAATTATTTACAAATTTTTTCCTATGAACTATGCTGAAATTTTGCTTCGTTTTCGTGCTATATTTAAAAAACTGCAAAAGTGCATTTTCACCCCTATCTTCAATTTTAACCCTCTTAATAGCATCTCGCAGTTTTTTCATTTTTAATGACCCTTCGAACGAATCATGTGATGAAAATCCTTGAACGTCCTTCCTTTTTTGCAAAAAATGATAATTAAAACGTATAAGGGTAAACGCGTCGAAAATCGAAAAATTGGCTAAGTTTGAGCGGCCATATATCAGTCAATTTTCATCCAAAAATGCTTTACAACCTCTTGTTTTGAAGGAAATTTTATCTACTTTTATTTCTATGAAACAATGCCTATAACTATCTTTACTCAAAAAAAAACTAGAGGAAAAAAAGTAAAAAAAAATCAGAAAATCGTATTTTTTGCTTTTTTCAAGTTGTTTATTAACGATTTTTTTGCATAAAATTTTCCTTTTAAATTTTTTAAATAAGCTATTTCGATGGGAAATTCAATTCTCTAAATAATTTTTTCTATGAACTATATCAAAATTTTGCTTCGTTTTCGAGCTACAATTAAAAAACAGAAAGGAGTGCATTTTCACCCCTAGCTCCAATTTTCACCCTCTAATTTAATAACATTCCGCGGTTTTTTCATTTAAAATGACCATTTGAACGATTCATAGAAGGCTTAAAACTATAAAGGAGTTGTAGACCGTCAGCGTACATATTTAGTTTACAATTCAAAGGAATTCTCCACAAATCTGCTATAAACATGTTAAACAAAAGTGGCCCTAATATAGCTCTCTGAGGAACACCAGAACCAACTGATCTATAAGGTGATGTTAGTATCGAGGAATCTGTATTTAATCTAGTATATTGTTCTCTACCGTGTAAGTAATTACAAAACCAGGAAAATATAATCCTAGAAATACCTATTAATGAAGTTTAGCATTAAGACAATTGATGTCAATTGAGTCAAATGGCTTAGTCATATCCAATAAAGTTAGAGACGAAATCAAAGAATTGTCGATAGCTGTCAAAATGTCAACAGTTACATTAGCCAATAATGTTGGCTTCTGAAAACTGATTGATTTATAGGAATTATTGAATTTTCAACACAATATTCAAACAATTGATCAAAAATAACAGATTCAGCAATCTTGAGATGAACAGAAAGCATAGAAAAAAGTAACTCTAACGACACTAAGTTGACAAATTGCAAATAATTGCAAAATTAGGTGTTTTTTCACTTTTTTTACTGCCCTTTACTGAAAATCTAGACGCCTTACTGGATATATTATATTGTAGGGAATTAAATTACCTACAATTTAAGGTAAAAATTGTCTCAGGGTCAGGCAAAAGCCGCTCGAGAATTCGCTCTTTCTGCATTAAATAGAGCTTATTTTTACGGTAATTAAAAAATAGAGAAATCACCTACGCCTTTTTGTTCAAATTCGGTTAATAAATAATAAAATTCCTTCAGATTGCCAGATTCATCCAATAAAAATATACATAAACAAGGCTAATAGCTACACTCTGTTATAATAAAATAATATCTAATTGCAAATTAAAAATAACGCATAAAATTATGATTAGAAATTCCAGATATTGGTAATTGCTATTTTATGAATTAAAAATAACCGTGAAATATTAATTAAGTCTCTAATTATCGAATAATGCGGTTTTAATTGGTATTTTCTGTGTAGAACCTACTTTTAAAAATCAGTTTTGAAGAATTTGATGATACCGAATTTGTGTCAAGGTATTGGGGGATTAATGTCGCTAGGAACCCTAGAATTTCGACGCCACTGAGTTTTCCGAAAATTGTAATGTGGCAATTATAATTGTGTCTTTTTAGGGAGAAAAAAAAGAAGTTCCCGCCCATGTTATTTGGAAAGCTAATCATTTTATTAGTTTTTTTTAGTTTCAAAATGAATACAACTGAATAAACTGCAAAAATCCTTGTTTTAGAGAACTTTTGATTAAGGACCTTGATATATTAGAAATATTATCTAAGTAAGGCAAAGATCTAAAAGTGAAATTAATAATTTCGAAATTATAAGCAAGATTTCTATTTTTGTTATAGATTATTGCAGATTTTTATTATCATTTAAAGTCAACACACCTGTTAAACCTGTTTTTTTTTTTTTTCTTGAACCAAAGTTCCATTGTATAAAATAACCAAAAGTGGAATTTATTTTCCTTTTCACCAACTGAAGTCTACTTCTTCATATTTCCTCAAAATATTTTATCAAAACTTAGAAATTTTAAGATAATTTAAAAAAATTCTAATGATTATGGATTACTCAGGATAATTTAATTTAAATCGTAAATTTAAACTTTTGGCAATCTCAAACTTAATACTTACTATTTTTTCAAAAATTTTTATTTGAATTGTTAATTATCATTTTGGTATATCTGGATGCCCTGCTCTATTTTGTCCTCTTTTCCTCTTAAAACCTTAGAATCTTTTGTATAAGCGACCATCATGTTATAAATAAACAGACACTAAACCATCTTTTATATCGTTTTTGTTCTAGTTTATAGTCGACGTGGTATTTTAGCTAAGGTCAGCGCGCTCACGAAAATTGCAACAACAACCTGAGGAATGTGGCAAAGCCAACTGAGTCTCTCTCCGATTTTAAATATCACTCCCCCATTCATCGCCAACTAGATATAAATGTGGATAGAGAACACCGTTGCGACGAACTAAATCGATAATTCCTACACGAGCAGAATGAAATTTGCATACGCAGGTCGAGCGCGTTTTTGCGGCAACAGTGAAAAAAGTATGTTTACACTGTTCAAAATACCGAGTAAACACATGTTTTTAAATGAAATTCGACTCTGTTAGAACGCGGTTTAAGTATGTTGTCTTTTGAAAATTCACTCCAGTTTCCAATTCTGTTCCGTTCCAATTCTGTCATACGTAGAAATACGCAGAGTAAGAAATAAAATTTTCAACGACGTTTGGAAAATTTCCCAAAATTCTCCCACAAAGCAAAGCACGCTACAGATGTAGTTCCAAAATGATTCGTTATTACGATATTCGGACTGAGATAGCATCATCATAATTACAAAAATTAGTTACAGGTTGATAACCCTTTCGAAACGACCACCACCGCGAAATGGGTCATTTTTCAAGGAGGTAAAATTTCTAATGTCAACGCGAAGACCACTATAGGACCCATGCGGACCCAGAATGAGGTGTGTCCAAACGTCGACCCAAGAAGCTGGTCAAACACTAGTATGCTCTAATTTTTTTTATTTGTATTACATAAAACTATCACAGTTACTCTCATTCAAAAGTGTATTACAAATAGTTACAAACATGTTCCCGGCTTAGACTAGAGTTTCGGAGTCTGCGACAAATATCCAAATCTTCTAAGGAGGTCTCACAAAACAAGCTTTGTAGCTTCCAACCTAGGTACCTTCAGGGGACCTTATAAACACTAAATACTTAGGCAAAGTCTACATCAAAGATAGTGATAACAGGCACCGGACTCAGTTCAAAGCCTCCGAATCCAATCTTTGAGGTCTTGATAAAAACGTCGATCTACCACATGCTAGAGGTATAGAAAATAGTAGTCACAACTATGTTTCCTGAAGTAAGTTCAGTAGTTAGCTATTCTTTTATCAGTTTGAGAATTGGTTTGGTAAAGATTAATCAACAAATATTGATAGAATCAATCAATTTGACTAATTCCTATTGGGCTAAGATTTGATAGACTGCAAATGCGCCTACTTCAAATGGATTGGGCTGATCATAAGAATTCCAATTAGTTCCATTGGAATTTGAATGACACCAATAGTGTTCCAATTGAACAAATTCCAATAAGATGTGAATTGACTCAGACCAGAATTCTGACTGAATTGAGTGTAATGAAAATCTCTCTCTATTATTATAGTCAATATAATCTGACAACTTATTGTGAGTTTATTATTAATACAAAGGTTTTAGCTTTTTGTATGAAGTTTTATAATTCGTTCTCACATTATTTCTTTGTTAAAATAATTTGTTACAGGAAATAAATTAATGATGATAAATAAACTTCTGTCAAAGTCATTTGTTTGTTCTGTGTGCCTCGTCCATAGCCACTGC